GCTCACCATATCTTCTCCATCCTTGTCTATCTGAGGGACCCATGGGGACCTTCGATCGGCTCATTGGCGCTGTGCCAGTAGGAGGGCGGGCCCTTGATGGCGGAGCCGTCATACGGTTGCCGTCGCGGCGTATGTATGAGGGGATTTCCTGAGTGCCACTGTGATCCGAGTGTCGCACGACGTGGACTTCGTTGTCGTGAACTTCGTCTAGGGCAGACTTGTAGGTGGCTTCGGAAGAGCCATTAGTGGCATCGCCTTTGTTAAGATCGCTGTCATGCTTCCAGTGAACAACAGAGTCTGGATTTAAAATCTCTGTGATCTCCGAAGACGCCATGCTGGTGTTCAAAGGGGCCTTCGTGCCGACAGCATTGATTGCATCGCTGCGGGGAAGCCTTTCCGCTGCCTGACGGAATATGCTGCCGTCATCGTCTCGATGCTCCCGGACAGCTAGCACCCGTCCTTGGGACGTCTTGCGGCCATTCAACCCGCCGACTCGGTAGTCTAGGAGAGCACGATGTGCCGAGCCTTGGGCCTATGCCTGATCGACGAAGTCTTGAAATGCGTTAGGGCCGCTGTAATCTCTTCGCGTGTGCCTGAGTAACGGCTTTATATCTGGCTTCAGGCCGCGCAGGAATTTCGTGATGAGATCTTGCTGGGAGAATACCCCAGATATGGCACGAGTGGCCTTCTTCAGTCTTCTACCGTAGACCTCCTCATCTTCTTGATGTCCTTGACGACAGTCTTCCAAAGCCGTTAAGGCATCCTCGATATACGCATCCTTGGCGTAAGTGCGTCATAGAAATTGTACTGCCTCCGGCCAAGTGGCGAAACCGCCTAGTCCGTCTCCTGCGATATCGAATTGGGCGTTGTACGCTTTCAGGGCGTCGCCGTTCAAGAATTTGGGACAAAGAAGGAGGGCTGCTCCTTCCTTAAGCCATTTCCATCCAGTTCCTGCTGAAAAGTTCTGAGGAACTGGAGAATGGCTATCGGCTTCTCGCCCGAAAATGCCACCGGCAACATGGTGTGGGCGAGACGCCTTGAATAGAGCCCTGTCTCCTTTGAGACTTCCAATCCACGGGATGGATCGGTATTTAGCAGTCGATAAAGACGATAAGATAACACATTTGTAAAGCGAGGGTCGCTCGGTTGAAGCTCTTTCAGGCCCGCCATCTTCGGCCCTCTTCGAGGTCGTCCGGATCGGACCACAAAACGAACTCCATCGGCATCGTCGTCATCCAGACTCTTGATCTTCTGCTGAAGGCGTCTCTTGTACGTCGCACGGCGGCTTGCTGAGTCACGAACTCCTGTAGTGATTTCCAGGGATGATACGGATCCATCGCTGTCATCTTGATCTGGGTACGAAGAACCTCTCTGTTGATGAGATCGTTGTACAGGGGGTTCATATGGATCCCTTCTAGGATCAATTGATCGTTTGGAAAAATCCAGTTTGTCTTGTAAAACCTTGATTTGTCTTTCTGACGCTTGCACACGGGCTACCAGTGCCTCGTGGTTCTGCAAAGACACTGTGTCATCGTAGATGCCATATGCTTGGGCTGTAATTCGTGTCTCAGTCTCTTGACGAATAGCCGGAATGGTAATTTGTAGCTTCGAGTCGATCTGTTCAGAAATGAACTCTTTTATCTGCTGCCAAAAGTCCTCTGACGAACCAGTACTTTTTGCGAGGTCGGTCTCATCTTGTGGCCCATCTGGCGGAGATGTAGGGGCCGTGATTTGGGCTGAAGCTCCTGCGCTTGCTCCAATGCCAAGTTTGTTCGGTGATTCCTTGGTCTCTGCGACCATTGGAGCTGTAAAAGCAGGTTGTTGCCGTATCGGCGAAGTGTCCTGAGCTCTTAAGGAGTCCATCGAGCGGGAATTGGCAACACGGCGGCGTGCCAAATCCATTCTCCTCTTGTTTGACGGATCCATGTCTTCTTGTCAGAGAAAGTAATTGTAGTTAGTTAACAGCATCTTCTAGGTCAGGAGACCACTGTAGTATAGTGGCGGTCGCCAGCTATGAGCTAGCTCGAGGAAGAGGTAACAACCAATAGGGGGTGTCCCGCGGTAGATCGGGACTGTGGTAGAGCAAAGGGGAAGTACGTCGGCCGACTGTAAAAGCACGACGTACTGGTCGAAGTGCGGACCCGGAATGGGACCAGCACTGGAAGGGGTGGTGTAAGAACACACGAAACAGGGGGGAACCCGAGCCTAAAGACTAGTGTCAGACACGGGCGGAGCGCCGAGTAGCGGAAACTCCTAGAGGGAACGAGCGGGACAGATGTCAATAGTGCCGCCAACGATAGAGGCTTGTCGTAGCCCGCGACTTGACAATCGTCACAATACAGGGAGAGAGAAATAGGTCGTGCGACAGTAATACGCCCACGCTAGAGGCCAGTCTTAGCCCGCGTGGTTGCAACGACAGAGAAATAAGGAAAACAATTGAAACGTCGAGCGACAGTAACACGCCGAGGTTAGAGGTCTGGGATAACTCCTCTCCGCCCTGGGTTGGGTGAGAGGCGGAGGCTCTAGCGAGGGAGCACGCGGCGCGGACGCGACGCGCTAATTGAACCGATCGGACGAGCTCGCCAAAAGGGAGTGGCTCACTGGCCGGTTACGCGCAGTCGCCCCGTGGTGCGTGAACGGGAGCGACCGGTAACGGGTTAGAAGCCAGCGCGCGCGACAGACAACCGAAAACGGACGTACGTAGGCGCGAAAGGGACGGGGGCGAGCTTGCCCCAGTTTACCGGTAGGGACGGGTGTCAGGTCTTAACCCCTCAGAGGGACGCCTCGGACACCTGTCCCAGTACAGTAGTACAGTACCTGCCGCCTAGTGCGGGCCAGGTACTGTACACAATTAAAAAGCTAGCGCCATAATTACTACTACCGCGCGGACGCTGCTACTACACGTGTGCACTACTATACACGCGTGTTACTTACAGACTACCGCACGGACGACACGTGTGCTAACGCGCTCACGTAACACGCGTAGACTACCGCTCGGACGACAGGTGCACTACTGTACACGTACGCCAGATTACGACTGCTCGGCATGCGCGTGCGCTCGCTACACGTGGGCACAGCTGCCCACGTGTATACCGTATACGGCCGTTCGATGACCTCCGCGCGCTCGCGCCGGTCATTATACTACAAGAGGCTAGTTCTAACCCGCGTAGTCGCGAAGACGGAGGAATGGAAAACGTAAAGTAAACGCAATAGAAGCCAGGGAAACGTCGCAAGACAGATGCCGACAATGTCGCCTAAGTCAGAGGCTTGTCTTGACCCGCGGTGTCGGACCGACGAAGGAAATCCGTTTCTAAAAAGATCCTTGACTGTTTACTGTCATTGCCCGGCGGCGTCGCTTAAATAAGCGAGGTCGTGGGGTCTTGGACATTGTCCATCCTACGGTACTACTGTACTCTATGGTGCAATGCACTGTACTATGCCATTACTACTGTGCCTTGTCATATACAACCTCCGGGCTGTACTGTATACAGGACGTCATCGGCCTGTAATGCCCACGTGTAGTTCGTCCGTCTGTAAGGCACACATGTAGTCCATCGGCCTGTAATGCCCACGTGTAGTTTCGCGCCTGTAAGGCACCCGCGGCGGCGGGTGCTGTGCAAATTACAAATCTGGGCTGTGATACCACAGCAGCAACACTTTTCTCCCTTTTGTCCTATTTATGTAAGAATCAAACGGAAGCAGCCGCTTAAAAAACAAATCCATCGTCATCCACGCCTTCTTATTATGGGCATAATCCAATCCGAGCTGCTCTCCTGTCTTCTTCTGAAAGCAACGGGGACGCCCAGCTGAACCAATAAAAAACAAAGGGAACTTCTCTGTCTCGGAACTGTTTGCACACACGAGAAGTGTTAGGGGCTTCTTTTGCTTTTTTCTGCCTGCAACTGGACTTGCACATATTGTGCGATCAGGCGCCATGGCATAATTACACCCCGTCTCATCGGCATTCCATATGTCGTCCGGGTCGTATCTTCTACATATATGTTGTAATCTCGGTAGGCAGTCCGTGACTGCCTGGTCGTCAGCATCGGCAGCCTCTCCATGCATTTTCGGGACTTGATGCCACGTCGTTTCTGAAAATTCCAAAGCCAGCCCGACGTAAACTGTAGATTAATTTTCCTGTCTATTGGTAAAAGCACGTTAACATCCGCGAGAAGCCGTCTACCCTTCTCCCTTATCATACTTCCCGAGACACACCGACCACGCTAGTTTTGATCCAATATCCATGCAGCCAAACGTTTTTCAAGCTCTGGTTGAGCTTGTTTGTCTGTGCGCTTGCCTTCGTTGTTAGGGAGTTCCAGAGATTTGCAGCGGGATATGCGAGAAAGGACCGATTTGGACGGGTAAAAGGAAAGTCTGAGTTCTTTCTTAGCCCAGCTCGAGATATCGGCTAGGAGGAATAATTCTCCTCTCTCACGCCGTTTCGCAATTTCTTTGTGAACTTGGTGCTTCTGTTTGTTACTGAGGGCGTGTCGCGCCATTGTGTGTGAAGGAGTTAGAATGAACGCCAAGACGAGAGACAGGGGATACGAATGCCAAAGTCTTGTTTAAGAAGCCAAGGCAATACAAAGTTGAAGGCAAAAACGGTAACTTTTTGTTACCGACATGGACATTACCTTCAACACTTTTTTTTACAGTTGCTTGTCAAAAATGGAATATTAGAATTCGCATATTTTTATGAGGGGTCACATGATGCGCTGGGAGTGAATACTTGCTTCTATCAAGGTGGTAAGAAACGCGCCGTAATGTTCCAGAAATGAGGTTCGCCGTCCCGTGGACCACCGCCCGTTTCATTTATCAAGGAATTGCTTGTAGGGAGGTCCCTTATATCAAGGGTTCACTGTACTACTAACCTCATCGTTCCCGTTCTACCACAGGAATACAATAACTTTCTCCACAGAATCGTGTCAACCGTGTATCAAATAGAGAGCATTCTGCAAAAGAGCAAGCTACAGTACCTTTATATTGCAAAGAAGCTTGGTATGTCTGTAAGCAAAGCTGTTGTTCCTTCGGAGCTCATTCAGTTTCTACAATTTTGCTCCCCTCCCCTACGACCTAACTTTCCTTTTTGTATTCTAAAGAAGTTCATTTCTCCCTTTCCCTGGCCTCTCCTTTTTATGCTGTTGGGAGTACATCGAAAACATGTACGTCAAACATGGTGCTGCATACCAAAGAGACCTGGACCAAACATAGATGATTTGTCCGTCGGTTTCCACACATTTGCCATACCGTCGAAACCCAGAGAACTGTGCGCCGTTGGAGCGGGTGTGCATGCCCCGTAACCCAGCAACTCGTATCCCTTCTTTGAGTGTTCATGCTTTGCTTCCATGTTCACCAACTTCAGTTCCAGCTCCGCATTGCTCATGTAATTGTGCTCTCCTTGAGATCCCCGCCGAATTGCACCCAACTCCTTATCACCACCAGTTGGTCTCTGTGAAGAAGACGAGGCACGTTCTACATTGTTCGAAAGCAATTGCCCACACTGCGCGTTTCCCTCTTGTTCTTGTTGTTGCCGAAAGAGTGATCTTTCAACTTGAATGTGCTGTTTGCGCATTTTTTCCATTCGTTGCATTTCATTCTCTAAGTCACCGCAATTATCTTGCACCTCCCACGGGTTCCAGTTTGTCCGCCGTAGCGATCCAGGCCCAGATTCCGCTTGTGGAAATACATACGACGTGAACGAAAGAGGTGTCGAAGTAGACGGGGCAACCCGGGATCCATTTTGCATCTTCTCCTCTTCAGCTTGAAGTGCCCTTAAGTCTTGCGAAATATCGCTGCGTCGCTCGGGAATCCCTGGTTTGGAGCTCGTCGCTCTCGATTGTAACTGAGAAGTAGGAGTGCGGCTGTAGTCAAACAGACGCCTATAGTCTAGCAATTCATTTGTTGCAGCCGTTACACTCTGCCTTTCACCGGGAGCAACGTTATTCTTCCACGCCATGCTCCATGCTTCTTGTGCTTCCATCGCTTTTGATGAATAAAGACGCCCTGTGTCTAGTGCAATCATGCCTGAATACATGTTGCTTGGTCCTCCAACAGACTTCGACAGACCCTTTTTCTCTTGGTCATACCACGCGGGTGCCGATAATTGATCTCCAGGCGGCGTTCTGTCGTCCAGCTGAAAGTCTGATGACATCATCTGACATCTCACATGAGAAGTGGCGCGATGGTGCACTGGATCCGGTCGCATGGACGGAGCAGAGTCTGCCCGGAAACCATTGAGAAGCTGTTTCTGATGATCGTAAAGACTCGCGTTGATTTGTTGAGAGATACCTGACTCTCGAGATACGTAGCTCCACGGGTTTCCTACATGAGTGGGCAGAGCACAAGTCTCATGTGAATTTCTGGAGTTTTGTGACCCCAGGCGTTCCTGGTGATGCAATGACAGCTTCTTGGCTGCTATGCCCACAGAATCAGATGAAAATCCCCATTTTAAAGCCGCCTGATGTTGAAGTCCTGCTGAAAGGGAGGTTTCCGGTCCGTTCCTGGTCAGTTTCGACCCTGCGAGCCGGCCTATGCCTTCTTTTCTAGTGGAATGAAACGCTTCGCCCATTATCCTTTGCGACAAATTGAGAGATACTGAACGAGGAGATGAATCCGATGAATCTGTCAGAATCTCCGAACGATGTTCTAGGCTCCTCAATAACTCGTCCTGGGGGGAAGGATGATTGTACTTGCAACTCTTTCCATACGGGCAAGTCCCTTTTTGCACAAAGTCAAAGCAATCTCTTCTGTTTAAGGCGTTGACAAGACTCTCATCGCGAAATGGGTGGTTGAACTTGCATCTTGAGCCGTAGTTGCATTTCCCTGTTTTCAAGTAGTACTGACAGTCAGCTGCTCCGTTCCGAACTGGATACAAGGTCTCACTGTTTCGACTCTTCGAGTGACTTCCTGCAGCAGGAGCACAAGTCTTTTCTGAGATGTACTTGGAGGAGTTAGACGGATTGCCTTCATATCGAAGGCCAACGCTCAATGGTTCAGGATTCCGAAACGTTTCAGAAGGTAGAATGTGGTCGTACTTGCATTGCTCGCCATAATGGCAACGTCCACGCCGGTAGAGTTGACAGTCTGTCCGCATTTTTACAGATTTGTCCATAGACATCAACCCCAAGGCTGTCTTTGGATGTTGCGGATGGATAGTAGATGCGCTGCTTGAAAGGGCGATACCCTTTTGTCTTCCCACATGAAAGACACCGAAATTGTCGGTGGGATTCCAGGTTGCCGTCCTTGAAGTCATGAAAAGAGTAGGAAATGCTCAGGCCTGTCAGCCTTATAAGGTCTCTAGCACAAGAACCCTAATCAGGGGTAGATGTTTCGTAGTCCTTAAGAGAATCTTTGACTTGCCAAGGTCTGTCAAAACGAAAGGAAGAAGCTCTTGAAGTAATATCCGTTTGCCTTCCTACACATATATGGTGTGCGTGTACGAAATTCTTATGTTGTTAGGTTTGTAGTCCCGAACAAGAGCAATCTGAAAAGGCAGTTATTCCGACAAACGGTTGAGGCGTACCCAACAAGATGGCGGACTTAGGCAGGACACGGAATTATGGGCCCGGATGTTGAAAGTAGGGTGCCTTTGCAGAATGGAATTTTCAGATATACCACTCTGGCCCTAGAAGACCCGCCCTGTGCCTGCGATGAAAAGACGGGCCGAAAGTCAACGAAAGAACCCTCGAACGAGCAAGTTGGTCGCTGCTGGGCAGTTTCGGGCCGAGAAATAGATAGGAGAAGGTGAACCGCGCGCAATATGGTAGTGGTTTCTGTTCAGACGACAACGAATGGGACGGGGTGCGAGAGCAATGGAAGTAGATGAGTGTGTTTGTTTACACTGTGTGGAGATGCTCTAGCGAGTCAAAAAACAAAAGGCAAAGTGTGTGTTGACTATGTTGGTATCGTGTTTATAAGTGAGAGGGGAATCAGCATGCGATATTGAGGACATCATGATTTATTCTCTCAACAGACGAAGGGAGAATTTGGGCGGGGGTTGAATGTGGGTGGGATTATGCATTTACCTGGATTCGTCTTCGGGATATATCAAACAAGGTCATTTAACATGTGAGCGAGATAATATCACGGATGGTGAGTTGTTCAATGTTAGTGGCATTTAAGTTTTTGCATACGGTTGAGTCTACGGGAGTTGTCATCTTTCAGCCTCACTGAATGATGTGCCTAGACAGAGTTAAATATTTCATTTCAAGAATTGAAGTTTGAGGCTGCAGGATAGCATCTACTGCGGAAACTGGGAGGGATTTCTCTCCCATGCGATAGAGACTGGCAAAGAAAAAAAACAGTGTTGGGGAAGACAGCTGACTGATGGGAGCAGACGGGGTTGGTATGGTGGAGGTGTATTTCAATTGCGACACAAGAACTTAAGAAAAGAGGCAGGGAAATTGAAATGAGAGGGATTGAAATGTGATTGCGGAGACTAGGGTTGCTTGCAATGTTATGTTTAATGACGGACTGTGCCCATGTTTAAAAAAGACGGCCGGTTTGCACGTGCCATGGCCCTAGTTATAAAGTTGAGGATATTGATGAAGATGAGATAAAATTTTGAGACAAGTAGACTGGAAGTGGTTTTGAAAACGTCATTTTTCAACTGTATGTATGAAGAAGCGTGTATTTTTGCGCTGTATCCCGAGGTAGAGAGGAGATAGAGTATTACAAACAGAAGAGCTGATGAGGAGGGAAATCAATGATAAGAGGTACTATCGGTAGGTAGGAGAAGATGAGGCAGAAAGTGAGGCATTGTAAAGTCACGTAAATTGCAGCCTTCCACGCCTGAATTTATCTTGTTCATGGATGGCCTTTTGTCTGCTATGTTTGCAAACGCGCTCATTTCATTAGAATTTTAAATTCCCACAAGGCGCAGTTACACACCTCAGCGAGTATGAATGTTACGCATGTGTTCTGATCGGGACGGTGCGTTCAGGGCAGGGAAGCGTCTGCATCTGAATGGCGATATATTTATTAGTGGAATAGTGATATCAATTTACAGGTGAGTGGGGCGGTGCCTGGGAATGGGAATGAAAGAAGACGCGGAGTGCGAGAGTGGGGTGTAATCAACCAGCGAGGATGTGATAAGTCGTTAACGGGTAAAAAACGTGAAGTGTAAAAAACGTGAAGCGGGGCAAGTGCGCGAAGGATGGAAGAGTGGGGGGGAGGCGATGCGGTGCGGCTAGCGCGCAGTTAGTGGGCAAAACGGGAGCAATCCTGTTACCCTTGGTACTCTCAGGCTTGCAGACATGGCTGTGCGATCCGGACGTACTGAATTAAAAACCTCGCAGATCCAGATGCCACAGCATGACATTGCGGTCGGAATTATCCTTTTTTTTATCGCACACTCTACTAAGTCGCTCCCACACCGCGCCAGAACATTTCCCTTTCAGTCAAATTGCCCATGGTACACTACTTATCCACACATCTCCTGCGCCTCCCTGTTCGCCTTTCCCCCACTCGCGCCACGCACGCGCCCCCCGTCCACCGCCCCCATCATAGGCACCTCCGGCTCCTCTTCTCCCACCCAAGCCTACTCTTTCCCCCGCCCTCCCGATGGACTCCGCCGCGCCCGCCGCGCCGGGCGCCGCGGCTCCCCCCGCGCCCGAGTCGCGCGCCATCTTCGTCGGCAACTTCGAGTACGACTGCAAGACCTCCGACCTGGAGCACATCTTCTCGCCGTACGGCCCCGTGGCCCGCGTGGACCTCAAGCGGGGCTTCGCCTTCGTCTTCATGCAAGACGAATCGCACGGCGCGCAAGCCATTCGCGCCTTGGACGGGTCCGCGCTGGACAGCACTCGCCGCCGCCCGCTCAAAGTCGAGTGGGCCCGCGGCGACGGCGCCATCAAGCGCCGCGAGGACGAGCGCCGCCGCCGCTCCTCGGAGCCCAGCGAGACCCTCTTCGTCGTCAACTTTGACCCCGAGAGAACCACGCGCCAGGCGCTTGAGGACAAGTTCGCCCCCTTCGGACCCATCGTCCGCCTCGACCTGCAGCAGCGCTTCGCCTTCGTCCAATTCGAAACCATCGACCACGCCACCGCCGCTCTGCGTGCGTTGAACGGCGCCCCGCTCGAGAACCGCTCCCTCATCGTTGAGTACACCATCCGCGCCCCGTCGTCTGCACCGCGGTCGCGCCGCTGGGAACGCAACCCGTACCCCCATGACCCGTATCCACGTTCATCGTATCCCTACTCGTCTTACCCGCGCCATCCCTCGCCCCGTGGCGGGCCGTACCATCGCTCGTATCGCACGGAGCGCCCCTGGCCCCCACCATACGCTCGCGACCGCTCGCACAGCCCGCGGCGGAGAGACAGCGAAGCCCGCTACCACCCCAGACACTCGGACCCCTGGGCCCGTGACGCCCGGAGGGAGCCAGATCGTCGGAGGACCCGCAGCCGCAGTCGCGACCGGCCTCGACATAGGAGTCGCAGCCCCGTGAGAAACCACAGTGAAAACGGCCTTCCCCCGCAAGACTCTGCGCGTCGTCCTACCTCCTCCAGTCCTTTGTCAAACCGCAAGAGGGACCGGAGCCGTAGTGGAACTCCTGCCGAACAGGATGCTCGCGCTGACCGCAATGAAGGCGATACCAAGATGCGCCATCGTTCCAGAAGCCGCTCCCCGCCACGGCGTCGCCGTTACAGTAGGAGTCGCAGCAAAAGCCCTTCATACAAGCGCACTCGTACTGGCAGCAGAAACAGGAGCACGAGTGCCTCACGGAATAGACACCGCAGACCAAGTCACACCCCTTCGCCTCAAATGATTCCTAGACGGAGTCGCAGCCGGAGCCCTGCGACACGTCGCAGTCCCATTCGTGGCCGAAGCCGTAGTCTAAGCCCGATGCCTTCCCGCAGTCGCGGCCGTAACAGCAGCCTGCTCAGCTGTGGACCAGCAAAAGCTCGAGGCCGTAGTGTTACCCCGCCCCGTCGACACAGCCGAAGCAGAGACGCGATCCGAGGCCGGAGTCGTAGTCGAAGCCGCAGTCGCAGTCGCAGTCGAAAGCGAAGCCCGAGCCCACGGAAAAGTCCCAGACAGAGCCCAAGACGAAACACGAGCCTGAAGCGGAGCCACCGTGACAGCCGTAGTCGCAGCAGAAGCGCAAGTCGGGGCAGAAGCCGGGACAGAAGTTTAGAAAAAAGCCGCGACTGGCGTCGAGACAGGAGCGGGAGCAGGGGCCGGAATAGCAGCCGCGATGGGAGTGCTGACCGAAGCCGCCGCAGGAGTCAAGATCGAAGCCAGGAGAGACGTGGGAGCGAGACTTCCCCTCGCGATGTCTCGCCCTCTGTTGGTGCAAATAGGCAACAAAGCAGTTCTGGAAATGATGGCGAAGCTGGCAGCACCAACCGCCAAGACTCGGCGCGCCACGGCCATGCAGTAACTCATGGCGATGGTAGCAAGGATCGTACTGCGCTTGACCGGGATAGGTCGACATCTCCGAGGAAGCCGACGCCCCCATACAAATATGAAAAGCCCATCGACGTGTAACCAATGCCTCCAAAGCAGAGGGCCCATCTGATTCAGCACCCTATCCAGGCCGGGCTTCTCAGATTTTCACCTTCTAGGCAATCATCGTGCCATTCCGTCGCCTGACGTGTATGTGGCACTGAAGGATTTGCCACAAGCAACATCGCAAACTCTTAATTGCCTAGCTGAAAGCCGAGAGAGACATGACCGGCAGCAGCCTCTAACATCCAAGGGCGATTTCGGTGAGTCTCGCACCATGCGCGTATTGCGGCGACGCTTTCCTCACCCAACGCGTATCTTATTACCCCGTGCATGCGTATCTAGTCCTTGAATGCGTTCTGGATCTTTCTGCGCAGGCAGACCCGATCAACACGCTGTCATGAGTATCATCCGCCCGTTCCGTCAATCATCTGCTCAAAATAGAATGCCTCTTCTTTCGTGTTCATCCGGATTCTCGCCTCCATCGCCGAAACAACGCCACAATCCACCGTCCAGGTTCTTCCGTCGCGCATTCGCAGCCGTTCGCCTCCCATCACCGACATCGCCTAGCCATCGACCCCATCGACCGTCGTCATGTTCATCGGATTTTCCGTTCCTGTCACTCCAGCCGAAACCAGTCATCTACTCACCGATTCACCGTATCTCCACGGCCCGGCCAACCGCTTCACTTCGACGATTAGTTCCTTTTCAGCTCACCGCCAGGAGCATGTCGCTCATACCATGCTTCACACACGCCAGCCTTTGACGCGATGCCGCCTTCACTAGTTACTCTCTGCTGCTCACGCCCCGTCCATCTTTCGCCTTTCAGTCAGATTTCGTTTTCCAGCGCATCCAGTAGTCCCTTACAGCCCGCCAAATGCGCGTGCGATTGCTTCGAAAACATATTTTGACATCGTCATGCGTGTCTCAGTGCGATCGGGTAACCAGTTTGTCGACATGCGCATCGCGATTAGATAGACGGTACCGCCCTGTTGCAACGTCCCTATCATTCCGTTTGGCGGGTCGCGTGATTGCTCGAATTCCATCTGCAGCCCAGTGTCCCCAGCACATCGCCACTCAGTTCGCTGAATGCGCCAATGCCAATCCCCGTTTCAGTGAGACCAACTATGCTCTGCTTGCAGCGATTGCTCATCCTCAGAGTTTAATACAGAGTACAGTACGAAGATGACTGAAGTGCAAGATGCTACAATATTAGTATGAGTGTGTAGCCAGTGGGTGGGTTATGGAGACCTCTCTGTTAAGAGTATAACTACAACGGCAACTGATATCAGATCTGGCGGCATCTCCATTTCCTTCTGCCGTCCTCCTTTCCGCACTCTGAGGTCTTTTCGGAAGAGCCTTCAGCGGGGCTCGAAAACGGAAAGCTATAAATGGGGCCAATAGCGTAGCGATGACAACCTGAGATGTGCACCGTAACGTCCTACACGGAGTAGGCTGGGGCTCAAATTAATTATGAAATGCCCAGGGATCTACAGTATCGCACTGCAACTCTGATGATCTCGCTTACAAATCAAATCAGAACGCTAGTTTGTGGTGGCTTTGCCCATACCCGCGGACAACGTCCAGCCGCCGTGATGCACGAAGGAAAAACGCATCAGAGTTCCCGTAGTGGCCGTCAAGAGGCCCCTTTAAGTACAAATAACGACAGTCAACCAACACCCTGGAGAACGACGTCACCTTCCCTGGTCCAGACAGGCTGTGTCGGCAGTGGCTCGTATGACAGAGAATTTATAACGTGAGTCGACGACGCAAGTCAAGTTTCGTCTTGTGTTTCATAAAGGCAACGGTTATTGCGAGCAAGGCAACCCCCCTCACATTTCGCCACAACCTGGTGAGCGACCTTCCAAAACGCTTTCTCCTTCTGTTCACAACGCTAGCCTTCGGGGCTATGACCTGAATCTGCCTCATATCTGGCTTCATCTCAATAGTGATCGGCGTTTTCCCCGCTGGTTCGCCATCGACAACGATTCGCTGCGGAGGGTCGCACGTGATGACCACCTTCCTCGCACGAAGACCGTATACCTTTCCACGTCGCTCCCTCGTACGCATTAGAGCCGACCGCAGCATCGAAAGCATGATACGAATGAGGCCGAGCGGGGAACTTGACGACACGCATACAACCTCCAGCAAGCCATCGTCGGGAGCCACTTTCCCGATGCCTTGCGCGAGTACGCTAGTGGCAGGTGCGGCATTCGCGACGGTGACGCCCTTGAGCTGAAGGTTTTGCAAGTGCATCACGTCAGACTTGATGTTGCCGTCCCCAAACATGAGCGAGTCATCGACGCCATGCAAGACGATGTCTGTCTTGAAAGAGGATTGTTTCCATGTCGTGAGCAAGCCCGCCACCGCATAGGCGACCATGCCAAGCGCGCGTTTCATGCCTCGGTCAGCCCTCTTCACAGTGTTCGCCTCAAAGCCGACGCCGCACAACAGCAGCATGGCGGAAGGCACGTCTTCATTGGGGTGGTCGATTTTCGGAAAGTCAATCTTCCTCACGTGCCCACCTGCGATCATTCCTGCTGCCTCCTTGACATTTGTGGGAATATCCAGAGCGGCGCACAGGGCGTTTGCCGTACCCCTGGGCACGACGCCCAAGACGGGTGCGTCGGCTTGATCCGCGCTGTCATCCTTACTTTTTTGCACAGCTGCGGCCACACCCGCGACGGTGCCGTCACCCCCGCAGGCGACGAGGACGCGCGCGCCGTCCGCGATTGCCTCGCGGCCGAGCTCTTCCCCGGCCTTGTCCGGGGTGGTCTTCCAGAAGACGACGCGCTCAAAGGACTTTTCGAGCGTGGCCTGAATGAGCGAGAGGTCGCGGTCGGGGTCGCGCGTGCCCGAGACGACGTTGAAGATGACGTCGACGCGAGGGTTGTGGCGCGCAAAGGTCGTCGGGCGGGTAAGGGAGGACTTGGAAGCGGGCCCGGACATGGTGGGGGTTTGGGCGTGCCGGCAGACGAGGCGAGTGGCGTGGTCGGCGCGGGGGCGGAGGGAAGGGCGCAGCGGCTTGGTGAGGGTGATGACGAAGGTGGGGAGGGGCTCTGGAACCAGGGCCATACGGTACGTGGGCGATCAACAGAAATAGGATGCAAGGTTGGCGATGAGCAGCGAGCTGAAATGGTATCGAGCTTTTGAGCACATTTGATGGTGAGACGATGTTAGTGGTTGGAATCACCCCCAGTCACAGTACTGTACTCTCAAAAGTTTGGGGAGTCGAGATCGGATCACGATATGTTTCATTTGAGATTTTAACGATATTTCTATTTACGGACGCTTTTTTAGGTTCAAGTCCTCAGACACTGCGACAAGAGCTGTACACGTGTATGTACACGTGTAATGTACAATTCACGAGTCGTGAAAGAATGTACAATTGAAATGGACACGATGCTCGGATATTAATTCTCCGTCGAAATCTCCGTCGCCCCGTGGGTGTACTTGTACAGTACACTGATCACAGCAATTAACCTGGGCCAACTTAATTCTGAAGCCCCTTTTTCAGGTCTATAACCATATTTAACATGGTCCGGATTAATTGTGAACCCAGATTAATATATGGTCAAATCAGATATAACATGGTCCAGTTTATTTATGAAGTTTATTTATGAACCACTGGATTAACCTTGATTTCTAACATTGCTGAAAAGTATTCAAGAAATTACGGCTCCACTTCTTGCCCATTGAAATGGACACGATGCTCGGATATTATTGTCTGCAGCTCAGAAAAGAGCTGCTTCTCTTCCCAAAGACCATATCGAGGCGGCGACATGCGTTCTCGCCCTTTTTGAACTCTAAATGCGACTTATCATAAGACTGTTTCCTCCAGGTCAAAACCAATAATAACCTGGTCCAGTTTATTTCTGAATCCAGGTTAATATATAGACCAAGGTTAATTGCTGTGATCAGGTGTACCAAGGATACACTCACGGGGCGACGGAGATTTGTGGCTCCTGAAAAACCATCGAACGTACAGTAAGCAGGTTTTCTGTGAGCAATCCGTCAGCCTTACCTAGCTTGTCTGCCCTACTGCTCAACTTGTCGAATTATTCAATCCCATCTCTTTCGAGCAAATCCTTCTCCCTTTCGCCCCGACAACCCTATTTTAAAGAACTGTTCACATGGCCGCCCTCTCATCATGTATTTCCATTTGTCTCGTCAAACGCTTCGAACCACACGTCGTTCATTTCAGGTCTCTATTCCCCAAAAGTGAATCACTCAGCATATCTTGCTCATGATGACGCTGGTAGTGTTGAGTTTATTGGTGTTAAGTCTGCCGTGTTTTCGTAGAACATGCTTCAATGATTAATATTGCCTGACATCGAAACAAGAGAGACGGGTGCAAGTGACCTTCATACTTTCGATTCCTGCCATTGAAACAGCTCTAGCGAGTTCAAAATTTCAGGTGAGAAGAAAGCGATTGGTCGCACGTCGTCGTCTACAATCGTACCATCCCCCAAGTCGTGAGTTTTCGGTGCGACCAGCCCGATGAAGTCAAGGTATCGTGTCATGATGTGTCGTCGGTTCCGAAAGTAGGCAAGCCGTGCCGTCAGCCCGTGCGCTGTTCTCAATACCACCAAGGGCCCATCTTCCCGCATTGCACTAACGTTCTGCGCAATTTCCTCTTTAGTCGCATTAGGAACTAGTGCTGCCAAAAAGAAAACGTCACACTTCACAGAGGGCATCTTCCGTGACATTTCTCCCGTTCCATGGCTACAGTTATTGCCGAGAAATCGAACTTGACCCCCGTCTGCACAAATCACTTTGATTTGTCCCGGAGTAATGATGTGGCGCTGTTCCCAGTTCTGAATGAGCTTCCGAGATACCCTGACGGCTTCGGGGTCGCAGTCGATCAGAGTGATGTCCGCATCCATAATGACGGCTAGAAGAATACCAGTCAAGGGGAGCGGACCACTTCCGCAAAATGCGATCTGAAGTCTTCTGATCAGCCCGCCGTCCTGCAGAACAGACGACTTCGTATCGTTTTTACGGCGCACGTACGAATAGATCACTGCTGCCTCCTTTTGGACCATGCTAACGTAGTTTTCAGTGTACGGAAAGTCGCTGGATCCCATTCGAACCTTGTCGATAGCCGATATGCTCGAGTGCGGGACCGAATTCTCTTGCAACAATTCTCGGGCCCAGAACAACTCCATGCGAGATTCGGCTCGGATGGCTAGCGATCTGATAGCGCTCGCCCGAGAAGAAAGCATTTCATTTTTATCTATTTGAGTGCAAATCGCATCCTCAACAGCTGCGAAGCGACTGTTTTGACTCAGTTCCGGGTGATTTCCCGAACCCTGTAGGTAACTCACGAGCTCAGAGAGCAAAGAGTTGACAAGCGGCGATGGATCCAGACTCTCATCAGGTTCACTGAGGAAATTTTTGAGGCGACAGTAGAGAGACTTGCTCCCAGAGGCAAGATCTTTGTTATCGTCTGAGTCAAGAATGGATTTGAGCAGACATTGACTTGTTTTGCAGTCAGCTAGAGTGGTCATTAGAGACGACGGTGTCTTCAGACGGTCGAAGAGTTGGATTTCTGTTTGTTGAAATAAACACTCCTCTGATACCAGAAAAGAAGATGGAGTTAGATCTGGACTGCTTCTTGCTTCCTCTCGATCTCCAGGGGACCTCAGCCCCTATGATATGCTCGTTGAGTGGAAAGTTGAGGGTTCTTGCATTCTCCATCAGACCGCAACATCGCCGTGTGCGAACGTCCAGCGAAGCTACACCAACGAATGTTGAATCTCTCAAGCCGCATCTTGGGCTTTCATATCTGTTTACTGTATATCTATGGTCGTGTCAGTTGCCCAGACATCGAAAAAAAGAAAAAATCTTCATGTTGATAGTCAAAGAGTTGCTCCTGCACATGCTTCAAAGAGCAAATGCACCACTAACCTCTCTTGTGACTCAAGGCAGACTCCTCACCAATTGGGCAGACGGAAGTGCAGCAGCAAGAAATGATCATTCTCGAGTTGATGAAGCTCCTGGCTGGGAATCCTCCCTGCGCGTTTAAGGCAGCGCACAATGATCCAGCGGGAATGCGCACTCATAGCCTAACCTGATTCAGGGTCCTGCCACAAAGTCCTGGCAACAAACATCTCTCGTTCGCCATTTCTTTAAACTTTTCAAGAATGTAGCGCAAAGTCACAGAAAGTGTCTTCCCATACCGGCAGAGCCTTTCCATTGAGTTGCGCTATGCTGTGAACACATAGGAAGGTGGCCACAGCACATGCCGGATTTGTCAGGCTTCTTCGTTAGACTGCGCATGGAAAAGAACCATTGGTATCGTGGCATGCAAAAGTACTGGCCTTCTGGTGCCCTAACTTTACGTGCCCACTTACGTTGCTTGTCATGACGTGGAACAGAATGCATCGCTTCGGATTGCCCTGCATACATAGGAGACAACAAGTATGCATTTTGGTTGGACGAATGGAACGTGACTCGTGTTTCTTTCGAAATGTCAATAGACACCATTTCAGAGATGGTGATATGCCCCCAATCACGCTTGAGCGTCTGTTGTACGTGAAGATGCACCTATAGAAGAACGCCCTTCAGATGTGAATGAATATGCTTTCCCAGTTTCCAAACATTTGCTATCTTTTCTCATGAAAGTCATGCATTTGGCGCCCCGTAACGAGTTTAAGGATTCAACGGAGCCTTATTTGCCGATTTATCCCTGATGTTATCCCCTGCTGAGAATAAACACATTCACAATATGCTCACCATCAGAAAAAAAAAACTTTTGGCAGAAGTATTTGGGAGGTTCTGGCAAGGACGACATGAGCGATGAGAACATAACACGCAGCTGCACCCTTTGCTAAAGTATTAGAAAGACGGGATGATTCAGCACTGATGAGTTCTCTGCAAAGAATAAGTAGTGAACACACCCCAAATTTGAGTGTCGGAAATCTGAAGAAAGCTAGGTTCTATTCAGGATAGCTCGAGACACTGAGCCGGCGCCATAACGGCGTTTTCAATCAAATTCGAAGAAATTCGTCCTTAGAAGACAGATTGGGGCGCTCTGAATTAGCGAGCATCACTCCTGGTCGAGAAAGGTCAAGACGCAATCCTATGACGCATTCTGGTGGACGAATTTCTGAAAGTAGGATAGGATAGTGCAGAAATGTTGCTCGAGAGATGGTGCGATAGTTAAGTCGAAAATTCACTAGCCAAACGACATGCTGTATATGTACAGTATAAGGTCCCGTGATGATGTTCTCTCAAAGGGATATTGCTGCATGACTGTTTATCTTCTTGGTCATCTTGTACCGTCGCTGCCTCGACATCCGCACCGCTATCTCCATTACGGAGCCTGAGACTGGTAAGATGTGCAATGAGGGTGCAGTCAGTCGTTCATTCGTATTCTATTTTCATACTCATCGACACAGTCCCTATGTGCATTCGCCGTCCTCCTTCAACATGACGCAAACCTGGGATCCTATTTTGGCTCTTTCGATTTGCTTCCATCTAATCAATTTAGTTTTCGGCTCATAGTACAAAGGGTGGCCTCCGACAGAACCACAGAACGCGCAGCTCAAGAAGCATGGAAGAGAGAAAACCCATTACAGTTCGGCACACCCTCGGTAATATTTCTTACTCATTTCTGCCTCTCTTTTCTGTCCTCCGAACTGCCCGCTCGTCCACTGGCAAAAAAGATCTGGTTTGACACGACGATATTTGTGAAGATTTTTTTCAGAAGGACAAATTGATGATGTACAGTTTATTGATGTCCGGTCAGGTCTCAAGCAGTCTGTTCTGACCAACAGAATTGATTTTCACACCTGGAATGTAGAACATGTCACTGAGAAGAAGTAAGACTCTGTGCAGCGCACCTCAAGCCAATTGCCGCGGAACTCGAGAAGACTACACTACGTGCGTGGCGACCGATACAATCCGTAGCTGGAACAGCACGTACAATAGATGTGCTATAAGCAACAGTAGTTGAAAATAAAGAAAGGATTTTATTGAGCACGCAGAAGGGCTAAGGCTGCGACCTTGGCGTGGTAGTGAGACCGTGTCGGTCACTACAAACTTCTTTAAAACTCTCTGCTTCGGTTACGGAGGAGGCAGTTGACTTCGTGCCAAGTATACTGCGGCATGCACGTGTTGATCGTGCGGCGTGCACGTGTTAATCGTGCGGCGTGCACGTGTTGATCGGGAGGCTACACGAGCTCACAAATTGCCCCTTTTTGCTGGAAGGCTAGCATAATTATCGATACCAATCCAAAGTACCGCAGCCGTGCCTCTTTCTGCACCAAGAATATGGACCGCAGATGAATTTTTCTATTCCAACTCTGGAACAATATCGTGTCTCAGACCTCACAAGATCCTAGCCCTGGAAGTTGAACGTGTAGGTGCACATACAGTATGTGGTTTTCAAGTCTTCACTGGATTGCATGTGAGAGCCCCAGCCCGAACCAGTTAGGAGTCTTCCTCTTGTTGGACTTTTCCATGCCAGGAATTGATTTCACTACTGTACACTTCGAAAAAGTTTTGCTTCAAGATTAAATAGCAATATCATCAACATCGAACTTCGCTCTGCCTCCAGGTTAAAGCATTCGATGTAGTCTCACGGTATCGATGCCACAATAGATAAATATGAAAACGAGACAGCTTAAAGTGATTCATGCTAGAACTCGGTTTTAGAGTTCGTGCTGGAAAGTCATTCCACTGAAGCATACAATCTAATCAATAAGTCAATAGTTGCCTCCTATAATGAAGGGGCATGTTCAAGATCAAAACAAGAGCGGGTGAGAATGGCGGGTTAAGAAACGCATGCTTGTAGGACCGAATAACGGTGCAACGTAGTAGTTAGCGCAGATGGTAGCGGGATCAAACGAACGAAGAATGGGGAACAGTGCGAGCTACAGTATCCGAAAACAATAAGCAAGAGAACGTTTACAACTATTTAACTGAGCAACCCTCGAAGGGATAAGAAGCAGACAACAGAGAACGAGAACTAAAAGGATGGAGGTACAGAGAAAAATCTCGATACAGTGACCGCTCGTGACAGTGACCCCCCTCGGTACAGTGACCGATGGCCAGAAAATTCTTGCCACCATTGCCCTGTGTGCCCACAAAGCCCACTTTCGTTTTCTACAGTGACCCCCTCACTACAGTGACCTTTCCTGTTGAGTGACCCGTATTTGCAGTGGGTCACTGTAGAAAAAGTATATTTTTAATTAAAATTTGTAAGGTCACTCACGTGACGAGCTCGGAAAAAATGAGTCGACCGTTGACTGACGACGACAGCGCTTGCGATAGCCAACAATGTTCTCTATCTCAAAGTCCAAAAGTGCCAGAAAATCATCCCTCATGGATTTTGAGAATGGATGCTCACTCTGGGCAAATAAATTTGCCTCCTTTCTCAAAGCCACAGCTGCTGCCTGCAAACGATTTAGAGAGGGCTTCTTTGCCTCACAGCGCTCTTCTTCTCTTTGTGCATCTGCCCCGGAGTCTGAGTCAGACTGCTCCGTAGGCCCTCGGACCTCTTCCATGGCAGTAGAAACAGCTTCATCAAGCGCATTGTCGCTTGAAACTGGCACGCAAATATCCAGGCCATCTTCCATCCTGCTAAACTCCTGCAAATCTCCATTACTAAAACTTTCTACCACGTTCAATCGTGCCAACTCTTGCCAGTCGCTCATTAATAAATGCATGTTGTTTCCCGTCCATTCGCTGTCCCCTGTTTGGGGCCGTTGCGGGGCACCTGCATCCAGCTCCAGTACAGTGACCCCCACCGGTACAGTGACCCTAATGGCCTTTCCGGGTCGCCACCTTTAGGGGTCACTGTATCGAGATTTTTCTCTGTACTTCGTAGAAAAAGTGGGACATCACACGCATGGAAATGCTTCACACGCAGTGCAGTGAGTGGATGTTGCAACTCAAAAAAATCTCGAGATACGGGAGGTGGTCCGAGGAGAGGCTTTTTGAGCTAAGTACTGTACGGTACTTGGATACTTCCGTGAACATTGCCTAAGTTTCACACGGGTTGCACTGTTTCCTTTTCCTGTGGTCTACCGTACATACTGGGGGCCCTAACCATTAGTGCCACTCTGTGTGTTAGCCAAAAAAGCGACACTATTTCGAAACAGCATTAGTCTGTGACATTGTCATATCGACCTCCATAAACTCGGTAATTAACATCTGCCTGCTCCGCGTCGGTTCTCTGTCGTGTTTTGCAGTTGGAGTGACTAGACGAGCTTTGTTTATTAAAGACGAGCATTTGTGAAGTCACATTTTAAATCCATCGCAGGCTAGGCAAAGTAATTGAAATAAGGTTTATATTGAGAGCGTCTTCAGAAGAAATTGAAGCGAGCGCTATCTATTATAGAAGAGGCGGAACTAGATTTGAACAAGTTTATGAAGATCGAAATACTGCATCTCTCATCCTGTCGATGCCACTATCAAAGGTACCTGAATGCTCTGTAGATAGCACCCACTATTAGGAACCGTACGTATCTTACTGTATGAGAAACCGGATTTATATCCACAAGTCGCGGCACGGGAACCTCTTCGGTACAGAAGAAGCTTTTGCTCCCATAAAGAAATACAGTGCCGATGCAGAGAACATGGTTCTTGTTCTTGTTGTTAGAGTCTGAAGTCCGGATTGGTACAATTCTGGATTCGGCAGTGCACAGAGGTGAAGGGAGGAACACGCCGAGACATGCTCAAAGACCAACCAGCACATTCTGAAGCGAGATTGCTCTCTACAAAGGGAGTGAATGAAGTCAAAACTGATTACATTAGCTGTTTGCACCTCACCTTCCTTTTTCTGGGCCTTCGTTTGCTCCATGAGAATGGAAAAGGCCCAAGCACTGGGACGGAGTCCTGCGACAGGCCCCATCCCAATGGAAAGTGCCCGTCCTTCCCGTGCAATTTTAGGAACTTCTATCGTAGCACTCTGAATACAATATCCTTGACTCTCTCTCTCTGTTTCTTGGATATGTGCAAAATAAAGTTCACCCCTGGAATTCCATCTCATAATTTAAAACCCATTAAATTCTACGCCTCTCCATGTATTCAAGACTGCTCTTCAGATGTTGTACAGTGCGAGAGGTTATGCGGGTGTAGTTGATACCCTTCAGAGGATAGTGATATTCTAAGGCAGCGAATTCTTTGTGTACTTTCGCCACGAAAAGGATAGCCCTGGCGAAGGTTGAGCTCGCGTGGGGCAAAATGAAGTCTTCTAGACAGATTTTGTCTTATACGAGGTCCATGGGAGCATTAGCTCATGAATGACTGATCGAAAACACAAACCCCTTGGGGCTTGACTGTCAGCTTCAGAGACAAGCCCATAATTGATGCAACTCTTGAATTTCATTACAATTCTTCCCAGGCGACTCAGTAGGCACCTTTAATTCCCTCATGATGCATCTCAAGTCACTTCCCTCCGCTGTCTCTTGGGCGCTCCCCAGTCCTGTAACACCCCTCCTCACCCCCTGTCCTCTGAGATACCCCTCACGATCCCGTGCATGAATTCCATTCCCTGAAGCAATCCCGCTCGTACTCGAAGTAACACGTGTACATCATGGCCTGTTTTATCATATCACAGGCACCTTAACGTGATCCAATGCAATTCCTGTACAGAAATCACTTTGTGATCCAATCTCTAAATTCGAAACCAAGGGCTCCCGCCAAAAGCAATCACCGATAATTCAAACAGAGCAGCGATACCTGCTCATGACCAAGCATGGTCGGACTCGTTTTCATCCCCCCCCTCCCCCCCCTCCCGGCTTCCCGTCGCACATCAACAAGCTTCATGCAATCTTCTTCTTGAATCACAACGCCTGGCCTTGAAGCAAGTTTTGGTCGCCCAGGATGCCTCTGCGCCGCGGCGGTGATAAGAAAGTTCAAACGAGCCTGACAAGCTTTGCGAAGCGCATGCCCTCCACCGCAGATGCACCCTCTGCCGCGACATCCCATCCTCTCCCGCGGCGCCCCAGTTCTCAACCGAAGGCTATGCGCCCGTTGCCCCGTCCCTCAGCAACTCCTTTTTTTCTTCAGGCCCAGCCGAGGCCCAAACGACAGGCTCCAAGCAGCTCACCAGCCGATGACGCGTGGGAGGTCGGTGAGCGTGTCTCAAATGGGAAGGGGATAAGCCCCCACCTTCAATATGAAGATGAGTGTAGGGCCCACGATAGTGAATCAGACTTCGAACCCGACTCAGTTCGACATCATGTGGCAGGTGAAAGGCCAAGCACGGCGCGGAAGAACATGCCTTCCGGTTTGAGGGATGACCGTGGATCTATGATGAAACGCTCCGCCAAAAAGGGCCGACGTAGGGGGAGCGCGGTAAAGATTCCTGCACGGAAGCTTGTCTTTGATTATGACGGTACGTGTGATGAAACTCAGGAAGTCGTGCGCAAAGCGAATGGGACAGCGACTGATGCTGAGGAGGATTGCAAGATAGTCGTTTTGGAAGGTAACAAACTTGAGATGTCGGAAACGGACGAAGGTGAGGAACTCACCACCGATGAGGATGAGGAAATGTCCGCTAAAGAAGACGGGGACTCTGAACTAAACAGTCCCGATATTAAGCGCTCTAGAAGGGAACGCAGAATATCTCTCGCTCTGAGTATGGTCACACCCATCGATAAGCGCCATGCGAAAGACAATTTCAAAACACCCGATGAACTTGCCATAGGCAGGCGTTTCCCTTCTCATTGCAAGAATGCACCCCGCAAATCAGTAACTAGTGGCGTTGGCCCTGGCGAGACAAGCACGCCTCCGAGCAGAAGGCCTCACGTTGTGCCGAGACTGTTTGATTCGGACAGTGACGACTCTTTGGTTGTGAAGAACAATGGTTCAAAGACAGGAAAACCTCGGAAAGCTTGGCGGAAGAAATCCTCTGCGCAACTATCCGTGGGCGAGATGGCAGCTGTTAATGCGACAGCTCTCAACAGCGCGGTAAATTCTCGGCTGATCGCCCGAGTGCATGCTCCAAAGGAAACGGCCTTTATCGGAAAATCAGTGTTTGACTGTGATTCGCCTGGTGCAAAAATTTGCACAAGAACCCCCTCACCGAGTCGCCATGCGAAGCGTGATATATGCAGCAAACATGGAACAGCAAACTCATCTGGACGGAAGGTGGCTAAGCCTAAGGAGCCAGATGCTGGACTGACTGACACTGAGAAGGAACATATCGATGAAGGAATCATATCCCTGGAGGACGACGAGGAAAAATCCTGGGATGGGCAAGTGGGGCCCCATGGGACATGCGCGGGCATGAAGACCGAAGCGTCTCGCCACGAGCCGGTGGCTCCTGTTCCACACATGGATGACACTGTGGGTGAGAAGCTGCCTGGACATGCAGATGATGGTAGAAGCGGTACTGAAGCTATCATCAGGGTGCGGTCCGAACGGTCGCCATCGCCAGCGTCAACACCTCATCACCCGCCTAGCAGGAAGCGTCGCAAAAGAGTCGTTATCACGCCAGAGTCTTCGCCCTCACCGTTGCCGAACACACCGCAGAACCGGGACAAGTCGCGGACTCCAATGCGGTCAGTCCGCGCCACAAGAGGGGCCTTTAACTCTATTTCGCCGCTGCTGCTTGGCGGAACTCCATCACCGCCTTCAACGAAAAAGCGCCGACGTCTACAGCGTCTTGTTTCGCTGGAGGACAGCGATGAGCCGGCCTTTTCTCGATCCACAGAGCCCATTAAGCAGATTCCACCATCCGCATCACCAGCACAAACGCGATCGAAACGAAGGAACCAGCCGACTCAGTCGACACCGAAGAACGCAGGGGGATCAGAATGGTATTATGAACAAGATATTGAAGGCTTTTCCAGTTCAAGTGGTGATCTCCGAGCACTATCATCAGAAGAAGCTGAACGCCTCAGTTCAGCACCTAACGATGGTCCGCGTGCTCCCGAGCGACACACAACTGCGGCAATCAAACCCGTGTGCCGTAACATCCTAAGAAGTCTCGATGGAGAGGAAGAGTATGATCGCGTATTGCCTGGTATCGCCGTGTCCCAGCATCGTAAGAGTGCTGCAGTCCAGCAAAATGGTAAATGGGGTAAGAAACAAAGACGAAAAGTAGCGTGTGAGGAAGTTGTTGATCTTGCTGATGATGACGAAAGCTGCGCGCTGGTTGATGTTGAGCGATCAGACTCGCCCGTCAATGTCGATGAAATTCGGGATTCATATTCGGTTCACTCGGGGTCAGAAAGCGCTGACGCGAGTGACGCGGTGCTTTCAGCGGGCGGCGATGACGACACTCCGCCACCGTTTAATTTGGTGGTGCTATGCAATGCAGGCGAAACAGTGCATCAAATGAAGGAGCGAATTGGTGAGGAAGCCCTAATGGACCACGTGACTGAGGCGCAGCAACAAGGGCGTGAAATTGTGGGCGGGCAGGAGTTGGGACTATCGTCGTCTTTCAATCGAAACGTATTCAACAGGTTTTCAAGGCAGATTGTCGGAGACCAACTGGGTCGGGATAGAAAGGCGAAAGTTGTGACGGAGCAGGCAATGCGGGGGGAGTTTCAGTTTAACTATCGGGGAAAAAACCGGGAGAACTGGTTTCAAGAAAAACGAGGGCGTAAACAGTCAGGGGGTGCCAAGAAGGCGCGGGGTGGTAAGCGCCTGTCAAATCTGCGCTCGCGACTAGGATAACGACCGTGATTGTACAAGTAAACAGCAGAAGACAGGGTGGACGCTTGTGTTGTGTTCGCCATGTCGATTGAGGCCAGGAGTGACGGTGACGGAAGTCGGAAAGTGGCTCTGTAGTCTCCTTGCGTCGTATGACGCATGAGGCAAGGACAGATGCCAGATACTACCTTCCAACAGCTATACAACCCTTCGCTGCGCCGATGTCCTATCCGTTCTGGAGAGGTTACCAGGGTTTACCGGGCGACCGCCATTATGGAATGGACGTCGGCAACGCAAGCGTGGGTGCGTAGCGGTCGCTTAAACAGTCGTGCGCGCGGCCAGCCACCCGCACTCGTCTACAGAGCACCGTACAATTCTGGACACCAGGCGAAGGGCTCAGGATCTCGGCTTCTCCTCTCTGGCGGCTAGCGCCTCTACGGCGTGCGAAAGCTTGCGTATGTCGTTGGCAATGTTTCTCTTCGTCCCTGCCGCTCGCCCAGAGCCTTCTGTGTCGGCCGGGGCGGTTGAGACGCTGCCCGCCTTGCGCACGTAGTCTCTCAGGATTGACGCCGCCTCTGCATTGCTCACGGGGCGCGACTCGAGCGCCCTCCACTTCGGCTCCATCGCGGTGTCGTGCGAGGAGTGGGAAGCACGATGTAGAGGTTAGGAGTTGCTTAGCGGTGAGTGGATGCGTGATCCGGAGAGACGGTGCAGATCATGAGATGCTTGTGAATCTCCTCTCTCCGAGGCAACGAGCGACGCATGTCGGTTGGGTACAGAAATTGTACAGTAGAGCTATCCACGTGTACGGCGACTGGAGGTGACTTTTCGCATTAATCCTTGAGAAGGTGGCTTTGCATCGTTGATCACTTGGCCGGCGTTGGTCCACTCTATCTATCACGGAGGCTTCGACGGGCGGTGAGGCAAAAACAAAGGGCACTTTTTGCTCTGCGCAAAAAGTGTTGGTGGTCATGAGAAATGGTCATGAGAAATGGGCATGTGTGGCTGGACGGGGTTATTACCATCGCGTCCGGCGAGCAGAGATACAACTATAGCGTCAACGCGTACAGTACATGTTATTCGTTGCAAGACGCCCGAAAGGAGAAGCGACGAAAGAATTCCAGACACGGACAGTAAGGGGGCGCACGCTTAAAGCCTAGTATTTCAACTAGTTGAGCACGTGCAATTGCCTGCGTGCCTCCCGCCATTTGCTCCCTTTTCCTGTCCTGTATGAGTTAAAATGAGTTTAAAAAACTGATCTAGCGTTGATATGTACACGAGAAATTGACTCTAATCCATTCACCAAAAAACATTGAGCTTCTACTTGACCGAGATGGCGCGAATCTTGTCAAAGTTGTAGTCATCGGCGATATTGTACCATCCCAACAGGCACCACCTGCCTAAAACGCCAGCATACACATACACGTAATCAGCATGATCCACGACGGTAACGACAGAAAATAGAGCATAATCATCAAGCATTGGCGGTCTGAACGACATCATGTACGGCGCCACACTCGTCCGGATCTTATCAACAAGCAGCGCTTTCTGCTGAGCGACCTTCGGGGCAGCTCGCCTAGTCCACCTCCGAAAGCTGTCCAGATCCGGTCTAGCCGCGAACAAGACTGCTGCGGCAGTGATCAGCCAGGGCACTGCGGCCGGGTTGATCGCGACGAGCCACACAGCAGCGCCCAGCGTCGCGCACATGACAAAATTGGCGAGCAGTATGCGGAGCGGCTTCGGGATCCACCCAATGCCGAGCTGGTGCGGCCCGTCGGTGGACGACAATATGCGCAATAAAGAGACGGGCCCCGACGACACGCGCTGCTCGTGTGCGGCGAGCGCGACGAGCCCCATGCCGGTGGCGGCGTTGACGGCGGCGGTGGGCGACGCCAGTCTCGTGACGACGCGGGGGCGGCGGGGCGGCGCGTTGCCGCGCGGCGCCCGCGGGCGGGGCGGGAGGCGCTTAAGCTGCAGATGGCGCACGACGCGCGACGCCGAGGTGGGGTCCAGCGAGCCCGCGCGGAAGAGCAGGACGGCGTCGCCGAGCGCCGCCATCGACGGCGAGCGCGAGGAGAAGGCGCGCCACCGGTGCAGCGACTCGCCGAGCAGCACGTCGGCGCGCTGGCGGACAAAGGAGAGCGCGTCCGGGACCAGCGTGCACGAGACGGTCCCGCCTGACGGGAAGGCCGGGACGAGAGGCGCGGAGGGGAAGACGGCGGGGCGCACCGGAGCGGACGAGACGTGCGGGCGCAACGAGTCGCGCAGATCGAGCGAGCGATGCACCAGACGGCGCAGGCTGCGCAGGCGCGAGGCGGGCATGGTGCTAGGCGGTGCTCCGGCCGCGGATCGGTTCGATGGGGGAGGCGGGGGGGGGGGGTAGGGTAGGGAGCGTAAGGGGAGTTTTGTCGGGTAATTGGAAGGCGGGCGGGTGGTGGGCGGGGGCCGTGCGGGAGGGCGGGAGGGCGATGGGGGGCGTTCGGGAGTGTGCGGCGGGAGTAAAGGCCAAAATGTAGTTTACAGGCTGTTGACGGTCGGCGCCCAGTGTGACGATGGGCGTGTGTGGCCCGCTTTAGCCGGGCCGCGGTGACCGTGAGCGATCACGCAGATCACGCGGATGCGGCGCGCGGATTGGGCGGTGTGGCGGCTTGGCGGGCCGCACGGCGCGGCCCGCGCTGGTTGGAGGGGGCGCGGACGCGAGACGCCGGCACTTGGCGAGGCGTGGCTGGGCAGGATTCAGAGCTGCTGATACTGTAAGAGCTGTCATGCTCTCGAGAGTGGAATAGTCTGAGGTGTGCACACGTGTTTGCCGCAGTAACGGCTCACGTGGGCGCGTATCGAACCCGTCATTTTGAAACCGAAACAACCTCAGCGTTGTCAGAGGGCTTTTGCCTTGTGCATCCGGTCTGGCGACATATGCTCCCCTCCTCGCACCGCATTGCCCCGCCATCGCCGCACATGCATCGTGCCCGCTTTAGCGATGGACGAGGAAGACGAAATCCGCCCCCGCTTCTCGCTGCCCGCGTCGTCCATGTATGGTTCCATCGATGGGCTCCCCGCCTCCGATCGCCCGGGCTCGTCCCGCGACCATACCGTATCGCCGGCTAACCCAAACATCGCCGCCCCCATGCTCTTTTCGCGAGAGTCGTTCCGCGACGCCTCCTTCGACGGCGGATCCCTCTCAATGCAGACGTCACGCGCGCCCAGCCGACAGGGCTCCAGGGGACAGTTCTCCAGGCTGCGCATGCGCAAGGCCAGCCGCGATACGTCGGCGGGCTTCGCCGGCGATTACGTCATCCATGACTTCATTAACGAGAAGACGCGCTCACACGTGCTCGAGCATGAGCAGCAACGTATGGCGCGCGGTCCGATTGCCGAATATTTATACACTGCTAAGATTTATTTCGTCCTCGTGTCGATGGGCATCGGCGCGGGACTCGTCGCCGCCAGCCTTGATCTCTCGGTCGAGTGGCTGTCGGACATCAAGTTTGGCTACTGTTCCGACGGATGGTACTTGACGCGCGAAATGTGCTGCCGCTTGGATGAGGAGGGTCAGCGCTGCGGCTTCCGGGAATGGTCTACCGCCCTCTCCTTCTTGCCCTTGATAGGCTCTGCCACTTCGTTCTTGGCCTTTTTGGCCTACGCCTTACTGGCCCTCGCCTTTGGCGTCACCGCCGCCTATCTCGTCAAGCGCTTCGCCCCGCATGCCGCAGGGTCGGGCGTGCCGGAGATCAAGACCGTGCTCAGTGGCGTCGTCATCCGCGGTTACTTGAGCTCTTGGGCATTCATCATCAAGGTCATTGGCCTGGCGTTTTCCGTCGCGTCGGGCCTCAACCTCGGGAAGGAAGGCCCGTTTGTGCATTTGGTCTCCGTCTTGGCCAACATGGTCGCCACCTCGTTTGACGACTTTCGCGACAACTTTAACCTCATGATGGAGTTTGTTTGCGTGGGTACCGCTGCAGGTGTGTCAGTCGCTTTCAATGCTCCTATCGGTGGTGTGCTCTTCGCGTTTGAGGAGGCCGCAAGTTACTTTCCAAACCGCGTTTTGTGGCGCTCCTTCTTCGCCTCGGCATTGGCTGAACTTACCCTCACCCTCATGAATCCTTTCTTCAACGGCAAGGCCGTCATGTTTGAGGTCAACCACTCGTTGGAGTGGTTTTGGTTTGAGATGATTCCATTTTTTTTCACTGGCGCTCTGGGTGGCATTTTGGGCTCCATTTTCATCCATTACAACGTTAAATGGTCCAAGCTTCGCATTCACGATCCTTTTCTTAGACGGAGCCCCATCATTGAAGTCGCTGGTATTGTCTTGGTCACAGTCATGCTGCAGTACCCGATCCCGTTTTTGCGCCTCACCAATACGGAGATTCTCGCCACATTGTTCTCAGAATGCAATGAGAGCGGCACTCTAGGTGAGGGAGGCGAGTCGCTCATGTGTGACTCGACTCGTATTGACAAGCTGTTTTTCGTTTTGTTCTATGCTGTCGGAGCCAAACTTTTATTGACGATTCTCACTTTTGGTGCCCGCCTGCCGGCTGGGCTATTTATCCCGTCGATGACGATAGGCGCTTGCGCTGGGAGGATCATTGGGACAATCACAAAGATGGTTGCTGCGGCGCATCCGGATTGGGCGATTTTCTCTCAGTGCCGCTCCGCATCAGTTTGCGTGCGACCATCTATTTATGCGCTTGTGGGGGCTAGTTCTACTCTAGCAGGGGTGACTCAGGTGTCTGTTTCTTTGGTGGTGATCATGTTTGAGCTGACCGGAGGGTTAAGCCATTTGCTGCCGACTATGTTTGGGATTCTTGCCGCGAAAATGGTTTGTACATTGAGTGGGTTGGAGGGCATTTACGACATGCACATCAACATCAAGCGATATCCGTTTCTCGATTCAAAGCATCATGTCTCTCATGAGGTGCCCGCACGAGTGATTATGCGGCCTCCACGGGTTGTGATTCCTGAGATGGGGGCAACATTAGGGCACTTGCAACAGTTGCTACATGACTATCAATACTACGGATTCCCCATAGTGCGACGGGAACATGACATGATCCTAACTGGAAACATCGTGCGGAAGGAGCTGAAAGCGGGGATTGAAAAGGCGTTGCGGGATCCGCGGGTATCGTACGAAACGATGGTGTCGTTCAAGGGGGAGTTTGACATTACGGACAAAGATTACATCCAACGCATCTCGGCAAACAACGAGATTTTGCTCAATTTTGCAGGCTTCCGTGATAGATACCTCAGCCAAGTGAGCCCGGAGACGCCGCTCTCCGACGTGTACGACTGCTTCTCCGCGCTGGGGCTGCGCATGTGCTTTGTGACGCGCCACGGCGAGCTGCTCGGCCTCATCTCCAAAAAGGATGCCATCGCGTACTGCGACGCCACGGGCGACATCCCGCGCAAGTTTTTCCGCTAGCGTCGACGTCATGGTGGCGCGGACTGTCGACAGGACAGTTGTACTGTGTACTGTACCGTATCTTACTGTGTGTATTATGTAGCCATAGCCCGATTAGCCTCACTAACCATTATTCGACGAGAGTCTCTAAGTCTAGTCTGCTGTGCAATCCCGACGAGCAACGGCGGAAGCAGCAGACGGTTGCCTACATTACATTAAAGAATGCAGACTTTTCCGACACGATCCCGGGTCTACAGTCTCGCGTCCGTGTTCAGCTTCAAAAACAAAAGCGACACATCATCACCCCTCGATAATACAAGGCCTTCCTCCAAGACTGATGAAAACACTCTTTGCAGACGTCCTCTTCGCTTCCCGCGGGCCTCCACCAACAGATTGCCCGCCGTTCAATAAGACAAGAGCATCTCAAGCTTGGCAACGGAGCAGCCGCAGCTTTGAGGACAAAGGCGAAGCAACGGCCGACGAATGTGCATGGAGGCATCGATGACGTGTACAGTAGATAAGCACTAGTTCTCGAGGCGGTGCGAGTTGCGAAGAAAAGTAGAGTCTCTAGTGTATTAGCTAATTAGTGATGGCTTTCCCGATGTTCGCATTACGGCGTGAACAAGATGCGCTGGTGCGTCTATCCGGGGAGCGCGCACTGCGTTCGCGGCAATGCCGGGGGAGGGGGGGGGGGGGGGGGGGGCAACGGCTTGGCGCGGGCGCGGCAAAATGGCGGTGCTACCGCAACGTAGCGGCGCTACTTGATCTTATTAATCTTCCTCGCGTTCTCCTTCGTCCTGACCGAGGTCTCCACGGTAAAGTCCTGGACTTCATTAATCAGCTTATCCTGATAGTCGAGCTCATTATTCATAGCGCCCGCCAGGGCTTGCATGTCCGCCAAGGCGCCGGAGATCTGATCCAAGTCCTCGTCCTGCTTGCGCATGACGTGCGCGACGCCCTCGGAGTACTGGGAATAATCCTCGTGGACCTCCCTAGCATCCCTCACGGCGGGCGGGGCGACGTCCTTCTTCCTCCTGCCAATGCGGGCCCTCCTCGGCGGGGAGGCCTCGACCAGCTCTGCGCCATCAAGCAGGGCGTCCCTCTCCAAATCCTCCAAGGAGACGGCGGCGGGGCCGTCTCCCTCGCCCGCGGCGCGCATGCCCTTGAGGTCGACGGCGTCGACGCCGCCCCTGCGGAGCTCCTCGCGCGCGTCGGCGTCCTTGCGCGACGTCTTGACCTTGTCCAGCCCCTTGCCGCCGGCCTTCTTGCGCGCGAACAGACGGGCCAGCTTGGGGCGCGCCATCTTGTCGATGATGCGCTCCGACTTGTCTAGGTAGTCGTGCACGACCTCGATGTCGTCCGCCATCTTCTCCAGCTGGGCCGTCTGGGCGTGCATCGTCTGCGCCGTGTTGACGCCCACCTCGCGCGCTTCGGTCGCCAGACGGAGCGCGCGCGCTGTGGAATCCTTTCCCACCTGCGCAGACCCCAGAGCGAGCGCCTCCAGCTGCTGCGTGGTCATCGCGTCCAGGTCCTCGGCGGGCGGAGGCGACAGCCCTAGGTCGTCGAACTGGTCCGCCGCCGGCACGTCGGCCGCGTCGTCATCCTCGAAGACGGTGACGGAGCCGAAGTTCTTCTTCTTGCGGAACATGGTGGTGCGGCGAGTGGGAGGGGGGAGGGGGGGGGAGTTGGACAAATGGGGAGGAGGGACATGTAATGTTGTTGGATGGAGTTATGTTTTTTTGGGAGGGGGAAAAATGAATGGCTTTTCTCTGTAGGGTAGGTACATCGTTGGCGTTTTCTACAGTACAGTAGCACTACACTCAATAGTGCAGTACCGTGCCACGCGGTGAAATAGTGCACTATTGGCGTATTGCACTACTTAAGGGAAGATCTCGCCAATCACTTTTTCCAGCGTAGCTTTACTTGAAGAAATGTAGGCTGCAAACGTGTGTCGAAAGTCGTGACAAGCGGCTTTGACCTGCACTATTGACGGTTTGCACTAATCACAGCTGCACAGGCACCACTGGTAGTGTCTATCCGACCGGCCCTTGTTAGACGGCTGCACTGAACATGTGGAGCAGTGTGCGCGGGAATGCGGATGTGCTGTTTGCGTTGTGTCTTTGAAGACGCAGGGACGAAGGACAAGCATGAGGCAACGGTACCCGTTGGTTAGTCAAAAGACGGCAACGAGCGCTCGAAGACGCTCTAACACCCCTTCTTAAGCGTGCACTACCACGGGTACTAGTCAAAAGACGGCAACGAGCACTCGAAGACGCTCTAACACCCCTTCTTAAGCGTGCACTTCGAAGCGTACCGTACATACCGAACCGTGCGTGCAAACTTCTAATCCGTGCAGCCCCACCTTCCTGTGTCCCGATTTATGTACAGAAAACTGCAGTGTCCCGAGAGTTACCCACTCTGAGGGCCGCTTCAATTCAGTGCTCCGATCCCCAAACCACCAAAGTCATATACCTTTAACTAAACAACTGGCAGTTCACCTCACTCCCGCCATCCATACCCCCACCCTCCCAACCCGTCTCCCCTCCGACATGTCCCTGGGCCCCTCGCACGACGGCGAGTTCCTCGTCCCGTGGCGGCAGGTCTCCTCGCAAGCCCCGTCGCTAATCTACTACGCCGAGCCTTCCCCGCGCGCCTGTCTGCCGCCTCTCTGGCCGTCACGCTCTCTCGTCCGCCACGAGCTCGCCGCGCCCTCGCCCTCGCCCTTGCCCGCGGCGGCGCGCGTGCTCGTGCGGGAGAACCGAATCTCGGGCCGCGTGTCGAC